CATTGTATATTACATAATGATAAATACAATAATATGGATATTTTATTGAAACATTAAAAAATATTACGCGTATACTTTAACCGCGTATCAGGTTCACGTTACGACAAGTTTCCAACCATAATCGTCGATAGAATCGATCGAACGGAAAGATTAATTGATTAATAACGCTCGATGTGGATTAGATCAAGCGTAAATTTCCTCTTTGAAATTCTCCGACTAAAGTCGAATAATTATATCTATAGATGATAAACGAGTAGAGAGAAATGGAATGATGTTTCTCTCTCATCAAAGTATTATTAAATATAAAACGTTAAGAGAGAGAGAGAGAGAGAGAGAGAGAGAGAGAGAGAGAGGGAGAGAGAAAGAGAGAGAGAGAGATCCACCAAAGTAAACTCGTTATCTTATTTGAAGTAAAAGGCGACGAAGTAAAGTTAGGATATATCTTCCGCCTCTCCCCCTATCTCCAACCCCTCCCCGACCCCAATCCTCATCCCTCTTTGCGTATTTCCTTTCTCACTATCGAGAATGACGGCAGTAGTTCCTCCTCGTTTAACTACGACTTTGCGAAGAGAGACCTCCTTTTATTCCTCCAGCCCGAATTTCGTGTCGCATCTTTTCGTGCATTGTGGCCTTCCAGCTCGACCGCCCCTTCCACGTTACCCATTCTTCCTCTCCCTTTCCTCCTCCCTCTTCTTCATCCTCATTCTCTCTCTCTTTCTCTCTCTCTCTCCCTCTCTCTCTTTCTCTCTCTCTCTCTTTCTCTCTCTTTCCTTCTATATACACACAGTTACAAAAGGTATACACCTATAAAAATACTTACACGTACATATTCGTCCGTTATATACATATACACATTCGTCCAAGTCCACGAATACTTTTCCCCATCTATCAGCCATCTCGTTCTACCTCTGACCCACCTACCACCCACGCACTCTTTTCTGTACCCATTTTTATGCCGAGCCGTCCTCTCATTGTGCCAGCCGGCAGAATGTGCCACGAGAAAAAAGAAATGTAAGAAGAAAAAAAGGAAGGAAAAGAAAAAGAAGGAGAAAAAGCAAAAAAAAAAAAAAGAAAAAGGAACGGAAAGGAATGGAAAGAAAAGGAAAGAAAGAGAAAATGAAAAAGAATAAAACAAGAAATCTGAATACACCGCCTTCTCACTCGGCTCCCTTCCATTTCGATAATTGAAGATTCGTGACTTCGCGATGGTAATGCGCACAAAGCTGTCTCTCCATTTCCTCTCTCTCTCTCTCTCTCTCTCTCTCTCTCTCTCTCTCTTTCTCTCTTTCTCTTTATTCTTTATTCTTCTCTTTCCACAAATTGTCGTTTCGTTAATTGCGCGATCGATTGATGATCGATCGTTTCGAATATAATCCGATATAATTCGAAGATTTTACGACTTGGTAAAGCGTTCCAATATCTTAAAGTCATTTCTGCATTTTTGCATTCGAATACGTGTTTACGTGTGACCACGTATACTCATTCACATAGGCATATAATTAACGTGAACGTAATTGAATGTTTACAAATAATCACGATACATTAAGAACTCTTTTAATGGGAAACATGAAAGTAATTTTATTTATATCTAACGCGTTTATCGTCTTTAAGTGTTTTTTTCATTGATGATCATAGACGATTACAAGATGTATGAATTAATTACTATGACTATTAAAATAAAATGAATTTTCCCGGTTCTTTCCTCTTTTTTTTTTGTACAATGTTTTTCATTTTTCTTTTTTTTCTTTTTTTTTTTTTATCTTTCTACCGAAAATATAAGATTTTTAGTTGACTAACGAGCTATCGAATGTATAGGAGAGATTAAAAAAAAAAAAAGAAAAAAAGAAAAAAGAAAAAAAGGAATAAAGAAAAAAAAAAAAGAAAGAAAAAAATTTAGGAGACGAGAAATGAGAAAGTGCAGCGAAGATAAATAAAGCAGAGAATTGTCATACATTCTGCGGTAGGAAATATAGTACGTGTACAATACCCTCCTATAAAGCTGTACCCCGAGAACATGGTTTCGATATAACATGGTGAAAAAAAAAAAAGAAGAAAAAAAAAGAAGAAAAAAAAAGAAAAAATAAATTAAAAAAAAAAATAAATAAATAAAAAAAAAAAAAAAAAGAAAGAAAGAAAGGAAAAAAAGAGAGAGAACAAAAAAGGAGAGAGCGAGAGAAAAAAAAATACTCTAACACGATACTCAGAGAACACGGTTTTAATATAACGCTATAGAGAAAAATTGTACGAAAATGTTCCAACTCACGTATCTATGCATTGTATCGAGCATTGCATAAAATAAAAGAGATCTACCTCTAACTTAATACAATGATCGAGTACAATGAGCAATGTTAAAGATTCGTAAACATATTTCAATATAAAATCATTTTATACAAAATCATGGATATGTATTACCTTATCGTATAACTAAATTCCATAATCTCAAATCAAGTCTCGGAACGGTAATACGGTAAATTTTGCTTAATCGTTCGCTCAATCATTACTATTACTATGTAATTAATCATAATTGGATACATAAATTAATCGTATCGTAGGAAGAGGATAATGCCTGTACGGACAAATTTCTTTTCATTTTTTTTCTTTTTTCTTTCTTTTCTTTCTTCCTTTTCTTCTTTAACCCCATAATGTAATCTAGAATTTATTTAGAAAAAAAAGGAAAGTGAAAAAAATAAATAAATAAATAAATAAATAAAGAACAAAGAAAATATTTACGACAAAAATTTTTTCGACGAATTTAAACGATTGCCTTATCACATGGATTATCACATGGATATCACATGGATTATCACATGGATATTCATGGTGCATCATTCGACGTATAGATCTCATTTTTAAAGTTTTTTTTCCGTAACTTCAATCAATATTATTATGGAATTGATGTCATCTATTTTTTTCTTTTTATTTATTTTTTTTCTTTATTATTATTATTATTATTATTATTATCTCTTATACCCAACAACGGATCTTTTTGTACGAGGTCTTAGAATTTAATACAATCCGATGATTTTCCAATTCAACCTGGTAATTGTTGTTTCAGTATCGTTCTATTTATTTCCCCGAATGATTTCATTTTCAGATCTAACTAGAGTCAGGTAGTTGCGCGGGTAGTTTTCGTGACTAACGAAATAAATCGATGGAAAGGGTACCATAGAGTCGAATCTCGGAAACTCTTTCTCTCTCTCTCTCTCTCTCTCTCTCTCTCTTTCTCTCTTTCTCTTTGTCCCTAGCGTCGTCGACAAGGGTGGAGAAGCAACTCGAACAAGCTTGACGTAAAAGCTCGTATCCGCGAAGGAGTGCGTCACTTCCGAGGCGTTAAAGCCGAGGGTGGAGTACCGACTTGACGAGTATCTCCTCCCTTTTCTACGTTCTGCCTTCTGCCTCGCTTCTTTTTTCTTTTTCTTTCTTTCTCTCTCTCTCTCTCTCTCTCTCTCTTTCTCTCTCTCTCTCCCTCTCTCCCACTCTCTCCCCTTTGCCTACTACATTCATATACTTTTCGTCTCCTACAATGCTCGTGCAGCTGTGGGAGAAAACGAAAGAGAGATATAATAGAATGAAAGAGAGGGTAGGAGGGATGAGGGAGGGATATATATACATATATATATATATATATATATATATATATATATATATATATATATATATATATATGACGACGACACAGTATCGATGTTAAATCGAACGAAATGTTGTTTTTGGTGAAACCAAGAAATTCATTCATACGTTTCATCTTCGGTATTATTTATGACTTTTACGTATAGTTTATATAAAAATATTTGTGTATGTATGTGCGTACGATAATTGGAACAGAAATTGAATTGGTAATGTTTGTGCATTTGTGGATTTATATTAATTACGATAACATTAAAATTATTCTGAGGGAACAATCGAAAACTGAAGATTGTATTGAATTCTTTGTAAATCGACCTTAATGAAATTTAAAATGGATCGAAATAAGATGAAAGATCGATGGGTTTAAACGATGCCTATTTTATTTTATTCATGTTTGTCGTTCAAAATAATATCAAGGAGAAAAGATAGAAAGATACTTTTAAGTCGACGTTTTTAAAAAAATCAATTTTTGCAAATTTTAACAAAATGACATTTGATAATAAAGAATTGATTATATTCAACGTAATCATAACCACGATAATAAGTACTTTTGATTTACCTTGAAATGATCATTTGGCTCGATAAATTTACAATTTTCTTGATCTTCATCGTAATGTGTAATATACAACGTACAACGTTTAACTTGATTAATATCCATCCAGTACACTTCGATAAAATGAAAAATTAAACGATATGAAAAATTCGAGGGACGTGATAGAAATCATTTAAGATTCGAAAATTTCAATTTCCTTTAGAAAAAGTTCGGTATATTAGTCATTGAACGTAGATTAGATTGCCCTCTTGCGTACGAAGTGTGATACTACGAGCGAAGTATTGTTAGGTGGAGCAATCTAGTGGCAAAAGTTGAAATTACGAGATGGGTCATTGGTGTTGGTGTCGATCGGTCGGTCGGTCGGTCGGAAAGAAAGTAAATCAGATACGAAAACGGTAGATACAGGCGCAACGATACAAAGAAAAACGTCGATAGTTAGTCAGCTCGTACGAGAAAGGAAGGGGTTGATTGAAACAGGAGCGGGGGAAGTGAGGATAGAGAGATCGAGCGATGTTCTTTAAAAAACGCATGCGCCAGAGCAAGACAAATGCTATTCGTTGAAACGATTAAGACAAGGAGAGAACGAAAACAAGAACGTCACGGATCGAAGCGGAAAGAAAGAGATAGGTATATAAGGATAATTCGAGAGAGGAAGAGAGAGAAAGAGTGAGACCGAGAGAGAGTGAGGAAAAGAGAAAGAGAGAGAGAGAGAGAGAGAGAGAGGAAACGAGAAAGAGAGAGAGAGAGAGAGAGAGGAAAAGAGAGAGAGAGAGAGAGAGAGAAAGAGAGAACACGACGAGTTTAAAAGAAACGACGATCGATTCGAGCAAGCCGCTTGAGAGTGGTTTAGTCGTCGTTGGTCTGCCGTCGAGTAGGGGCAGCTACTGGCGCGACATCTGTACAGTTATACGAAGAGACGTGCGGTCGCGATAGGAACGAAAGTAGACGACGGAAGGAGTCGTCCGAATCTCACGTTGCGTTAAGAGTATTCCGTTATCTTTTATTCGTACGGAATAAAATTTCGTTCTTATACGTACGTATGGCGAGCGAGTTCGTTTTCGGCGTTATACTCGGTCACGCTCGATATCGCAAAGGGAACGTTCGATATATACGAAAATCTATAGAAAGTTGAACCTTTTGTTTCTTTTCTCTTTTACTTTTTTTTTCTTTTTTTTTTCTTTTATTTGTTTTTTTTTCTCTCTCTCTTTTTAATGTGTAGATTCGACAAGGTATAATACGTAATATTTCGTGACGGGATTTTTTCGTCGATACGCGATAATTTCCTCGGTCATCAAGAGAAAGGGAATAATAAAAGAAAACGGGGCGGATTCTTTGTATCGAAAATTTTGGAAAGAAAAGGACCGATTGTAAAACGGCGATTTCTCTTTCTTTCTATCTCTCTCTCTCGTTCTCTCTCTCTCTCTCTTTTTTTTTTCTCTTTTTTTTTTCTTTCTTTCTTCCTTACTAACCTATCTTACCTTTAAAACAAAGGAACTTTTAAAGGAGTGAGATAGGAACATTCAACTTGGTAAGAAAGCCTTTGTGGAAAAGGAGAAGAAGGAGAAGGAGAAGGAGGAGGAGGAGTAGGAGGAGGAAAGTGTGCTGGAGAAGATCATGATAGACCATTATACTGTGAGACGCCATGACAAAAAAATGGATTTTGCACTAATTGTCTACAACGCTGCAAGAGACGGTTGCCTGCATCGCCTCAGGGTGAGTACATCATACATTCATATACCATATATACGACATATATAGATAAATCATATATATATATACGTATATATGTATATATATATATTTGTATATATATGTATATATATATATATTATATATATACATATATGTACATCACTTGTCTCTCTCGATCGGTTCGTCTCTATTGGACGGTGCAATGGCCACACTTCTTCTCGACCCTAACACCCTCTGGTGAGATATTTTTGTACTTTAACACAACGTCTTTCATCCTGTACATGATCTCTTCCACGAGGAAAAATATATAATGAAAATAAAATAAAATAAAATGAAGTAAAAAAAAAAAAAAAAAAAAAAAAAAAGAATAAAAAAATTAATTAATTAAAAAGTAAAAAAAAAAAATAAAAGAAATTTTTTTCTTCGCGGAGAAATGTTCGCTCGTTTCGAATTAAATATTTTTTTAGACATTATTTCGAAATGAACTTGCATCTTGCTATATATATATATATATATATATATAGGTATGTATGTATGTATGATGTATGTATGTATGTATGTATATATTTATATTTTTCAAATCTTATTACATTTTATCACTATAATATTATTTATTACATCCTATACAAAGTTATTTAATGTTGCATTTTTTAAATTTTAAGTTATAATATTAATACGATAATATATACCGGGTATTCGAAACATAAAAAGTTACAAATTTTCAATTCGAATTGTCGAGTAAAATTTTTAAGATAAGATTTATCTTATTTCAGGATTGAAGTATTATTGTTATATATATTTTTTTTTTTTTTTTTATGGTAGATATCAACTTCATTACAAGGTCAACGTTTATTTTTCTTTGATAAAAATCCTATATTCTTTTTATAACGACAATGTATTCTACGGGGGAAAAAAGGAAATAAGTAACTTCTGTACAAAAAAAGTTTTTTTTTTTTTACTTAGAGCCCTAAAAAAATATTGCTTTTAAAAAATAAAACTTCGATTGGAATCATTCGATCTAAATATAGAAATCAATATTTCAAACTAACAATTGATTTTAGAGTTGTTTTAAAATATTGATTGGACAGATTTAGGGATGAGGATTGAAATTCAATAGGGATGTTGTAATAGTAAATAGATATGTATGTATTTCATTGATATCGTTATTAATTAATTATAACTCGAGCTCGTTAATTTAATTAATTATTGAACAAATCGCCGATCGTATCTGAGAGAATGTTCACAGTTTTAATTATAATTTGCCATTGGTAAATTACTTTTATGGTTTTATTGAGAGATCTTCCTATGTTTATAGAGCTTCCTTTTTCTTTCCTTCATTTACTCATGTAAATATATGCATTACTATATATATATATAATATTATATATAACGTTGTTGTTGTTTCATATATATATATTATCTAATCAAAGGTTATGATTAACTTAATATATCATTAATCGTATTACGATTAAACTTTTGATTACCTCCAAGTAAGTAATAAAATTGTTTTATACATTATTTCTAACTAATTTTTTTATTTTATTTTTATTCATGAAATAAGACAATCATTTCGCTGAGGATAAAAGTAAGAGTACTTTGTATGATTATATAATTGTATTGAAAAAAAGAATTTTATATATATATATATATATATATATATATGTATATTATAAGATTGAATTAGGGAATATTATATAATTGTATATTATTAAATTTGTATTACATAATCATATTTTAGTTATGTAATACAATATTTTATATTATATAAAAAATGAAATAATATATATATACATATATACATGTATATATACATATATATATATATGTGTGTATGTATAGGTTATATTTATATAGATATAAAATAATATTTGATGTATTGGTTGCACATAGTTTTTCTCTTTTTTTATTTATTTATTATTCTTTTTTTTTTTATACATCCAAATTAATTAATTTTACGTCAATTATATTTGCTTTGGACAAGAATTTTTATATAAAAATTAAGAAAATAAAAAAAAAAAATAAATAAAAGCAGTCAAGTATCGCCTATCCCAATTTTAGTCAATTTCAAATGATGTTCATTAAGTAATCAATTTTATTCTTCTTTTTTTTTTTCTTCTGCTATTTTTAACATTAATCGATATATTTGTATGACGTTAATCGATGTATTTTTAACGGCAATGAAAACACGCTTGATTAATTTCTTTTTTCACAGATGTACGTTTGTTAGAGAACACTTGGTAAAAAATAAAAAGAATTGCATATACAGGTTGTCTCGTTTCTATCAACGTCATATTAAACTTGAAATTAAGATTGATATTATGATCATGGCCTTGACATGTGAATGCATTTTACAATTAAATTTATATCCGTTTTCTTTTCATTTTTTTCTTTTCTTTTTTTTTTTTTTTTTTTTTTTTTATTAATTCTATTTATAAATAGTATGGAATTTATTATGGTTTCAATTTGCAATAATATGTAATAATAAAATCAGGAGGAAAGCGATATCGAATAGTGTTTTTTTCATTCATTCATAATATTTCTTATCATTTTATCGATTCAACTATATGATTATTGACTGATAATAGTAGTAATCTGTATAAAAGTGTGGAATAATTTTTGTTTTTCTTTCTTTGACCATCTGTAACAATACGTGCAATAATACGTATAATAATAATTTGGTATCATACACACATAGAGACAGATGTATTATATACATATCTATTCTTGAAATTTTTTTTATATTTTATCATCAGCAAATAAATTCTAAGCTTTTCATAATATTTCTTAATTATAATATGGCATAATTATGACAATATATAATAATAAGTATAATTTTTACAAATTATATAATTTTTTTTTTTTTTTTCTTTATTTGTAGACATGGACAAAAAAATATATTGGATATAAAAAGGAATGCGTTTGTAATGACATATCTTTAATTTTATTAACATTTTATTTCATTTTTTTTTTTTTTTTTTTTTTTTTTTTTTTGCAAACTTTTCACGCTCCATTAAATATATAAAATATTTTGATATAGCGAAGTTATATCAATTCAAATTATTATTTTTTCTGTCAAACAATTAAATATTTATAAACTAATAGTTTATAAATGTTTGATAAAAGTATAACTTATTTCCTTGAATATTAACAAATAGTAGATACGATACGTATGTACATATAAACTAATCGCATATCTAATCGCATATCTAATCGCACATCGAATCGATGAATATTAAAACAACGGACGAACAAAGAACGTCGTTTGCGATGGTTCAAAAAAGAAAAATTTTACGTGAGCGATACGAATTGAAATTGAAATGGGAATGTGATACTATTTATTTACGTATGTATGTCTCTACCTTTTAATGTGTATTTATTTTGTTTATGATTTTTTACACTTGAAAATACGAAAACAATGGTAACGTAACGAGTGTGATTTCTGTTAATGAGCATGTAATACGCTTGAATGCTTATCTTCGACATTTTTTCTTTTTCTTTTTCTTTTTTTTTTTTTTTTTCTTTTTTTTTCTAAAATTAAATACTTGTAGGAGCGTTTACGTTCATTTTCGTTTTTTAATTTTTTTTTCCTCTCCAATCCAGTCGAAATTATTTATTTAGTCGTAAATTTTTTATTTAGTCGTAAGGCTAATAAGACAACGTTTAAATTGTATTTATTATTATTATTATTATTATTATTATTATTAGTAGTAGTAGTAGTAGTAGTAGTAGTAGTAGTAGTAGTAGTAGTATCATTATATCATTGTTATTATATAATTCAAAGTATGAGGATCTAGTTTTCGAGTGATTTTTTATATAAGTGTGCGGAGAGAGTAAGAGTACATTGGATATAAACCAAAGAGGGATGTAAGTTTTATTATGTGAAAATTTATTGTTTCAAAAAAAATTATGAAAAAGTTATCATTCGTTAAAGATGTTTGTTGAATTCTGTACTTTTTCTAATGACGATGCATCCATGAATAATGCGACGATCAATAGATCGAATGAAGATTTAGGTTTTAACATTAAATTTGGAAATCGTCGGTTTATAAAAAGGTTTATATAAATATTTATTACTATTTATTTCACGTTTATTATGTTTTTCCAAAGTTATCTATTACGATCTTTTTCTTTTTTTTATTTTCTTAAATTATGCAATTTGTTTAGAGACACAAAATGATTTGAAAACTAGTTTTAGATTTTTATTTTTAAATTTCGAAGCACTCAATCGACACTTAAAATTTTATATTTGAAATAAATTTCCTCTATAATCAGCCTTGAAAATTTTATTATGTGTTTTCGATATATATATATATATATATATATATATATGATTAGAATATAACAGATATAAGATATAATAGAAATTCAATTGATTTGTAAACTTTCAAAAGATTATTATTTATTAATTCAATATTTTGAAATATTTAATTAGTATTTCAAATACATTATCATTATTAATAATAAAATATCGATATGTATAATGTAAATGACGCAACCCTTATCCTTAATTATTTATAGCGATCAAAATATTTATATATATTGGTCATTTATTTTACAAGATACTTGTCATTAATTAATTTATAAAAATGATCAAATAAATGAACAATATGTGCCATAAGAGGATAGCAACGTAGAATGTACATATGATATTAGTGTACTTACACTTTTTTTATCAAAATTAGAATTGTATGTATACATACATATATATATATATATATATATATATATATATATATATATATATATATATATATATATATATAAAATATTTTGACATTTCCCAAAGAACAAAAGAAAGAGAGAGAAGGAGGGGAAAGGAGGGAGAGAGAGAGAGAGAATTGTTGATAATTTCACTGTCGATCGATGATAAATTAATAAGATTCGAAAAATATCATTCGATAATCGAGTATTATTTTATTGTATTAGTCTACGTGATAGCTTTAGCGAAAGGATAGGATTTTCTGCTCTCTTGGCTCGAGTTTATCTCGAGTAGGAAATAGCCGTGGCAAACGGTGGTTATA